TAGGTGTTTTTATTGTTTTACTGTGTTTTGTTTGTTTTTAATTTTGTACAGCACTTCGGACGGCTGCTTGTTGTATTTTAAGTGCTTTAGAAATAAATTGGTATGGTATGGTTTTGGTATAGAATCTTCTGTATTGAAAAGTTTTGTCTTTTATCCACAAGACTTATTCAGTCTGAAACCTTGCAATAAACTCAGCCTTATAAATAGCACCTCGTCATAGTGGACCAACCAGTTGGCCACCAGAAATTAAATACCCTTTAAGTATTATATACACTTTACATCTTCTAGAGCACTGCAGTTTGTTGACTCACTGATGGAGGTCGAGGGTATGTATCATATGGAGGTGGAGGGCTGTCCTGCTTGGGGCTGGAGGTGGTGTCATCTTCATGTTCACTCTCACTCCAGTAGTCTACAAGAAATACACATTGTTAGACATTAGAACAGAAACATAAAATGCACAATCCTTTGTGAATAGATTAATTTATGTAAAATATTTTCTACAAATTATTGACACACTTGATTAACCATCTGTTCATTTATCCATCCCGTAATCCATCCATCTACTCTATATCCAGCCAACATAATATCATCAATCCATCTATTGAACCATACATACATACAAACATACACCAATGCATTCTATTATTTCAAAACTTGCTGCTAATATATGAAAGCATCGCTTAAACAATTCTAATTCATCTAAAACAATCTTGTGAGTCACAAATAAAATAAATATTCTTAACATTCATCACAGTATACTCATACAATGTGTAAATTGATATTTAATAAAGGATGAATGGTATGGTATGGTATAAAGTTTATTCATTTGAAAAAAATACAAAACAATTCCATGACAAAATAAAAAAAGATACAAGAGATTTAAAATGAAAGGCAGCAGAACGAAGAAAAAAATCACATTATATCTGCCCCTTTTTTCAAACAATTATTTCAATCATAACAATTTTCAAGTAAAGAAGAATAAGCACCCTATCCTGATGCATGCTCAATTCTCCAGGTAGAAAAATCTAAAAAAGTTAAATCAGGTCCTCTGGACATTCAAAAAACAAAACAAACAAACAAACAAAAAAATGTAGAAATGTTTCGTCTTCCACCCAAAAGACTTCCTCAGTCTGAGGTGCTGTATTCAGCTCAGTCTCTTAAATAGCACCTTCTCAGAGTGGATCAACCAGTTTGCTGCTGACAACCAAAACCAGCTGATCACATGCTCTAGAAGGAC